CCCTCCCCCGCCTGATCTAACAGCCTTTCTAAATGTTGTATTTTACTTTACCTTTCCATACGTTGGTGTTGTTGAACAACTCAAACTTATCTTTCTTTGTGTCATGTCTTCCAATTTGTACAAGACCCTTTTCGCTAGCTGTTGACATTGATAAAACAACAGAGTAGTTATGAATATGAATGAGATCTTCGCGATAAAGGACAATACTTAAGCAGTGATGAAAGTAAGGCCTGGGGGAAAAAATTCAGGCCTGTGCAGAATTTGAACCCATGACCACTGCGATATCGGAAGAGAATAGTTAGAATGAAATAGTTAGTAATTAAAAGTACTGAGCGATACATGTACGCTATCTCTAGTTTCTGGAAAGATTTTGTTTTTTTAATGCTGAAATGTCTTGCATGATACAAACGCGTAATATATTGTTTGAAGATCTACAATGCTGGTTGTAATTTTCCGCATACATCTCCTGGACGGCAGTTAACAACTTAAATCATTCGTAACTAAACGTCCTGAAAAATTTTTTAGCCGAGTGACAAAAGGAGACAAACTGCGTTTGTCCCACTAGACGAAAATAAAAAGGGCAAAAACAGCTTTGTAGGAGCACTGTCAGTTATAAGATAAGCAAGAAAATCGAAATTATTGCTCACTTCTGTATTGCTTCACTCCTATTATCCCTTGCCTGTAGTGCACGTCGGGATCAAACGATATTGGACCCTGAATGGGAATTGAGCAGCAACACATGGTTAAGGTTTTATCTTAACTCAGAACTTGGTTTTTGAAATTCTTATTTTGTCAGTGGACAAGAGACATTTTATTATCAACCTTAGGCAGTTAAAGTATTCATCATAGAGGGGGACGTACCCAATGGCGCAAGCGACAGCTCATTATTAACGAACAACTGGAAAAATGGGTCTTCGTATGACTTTCCCCCTCGAGTTTGGCCTCGGGTAACCATTGATTAAAGGTGCCACATTCTGGAGAAGATCCTTTCATTTTAATCTTGGACGCCAGGGGGAAGGCTATGTTCCTTAATGCCAGAAATTTATTTGCCATTTTTTCGCGATAATGGGGTTAGAATATAAAACAATTACCGTAAGTCCTTCAAAGGACAAATTTTCCAGTTTTGATACGATAGTTTTTGTTATGACTGCATTCCCCAAAAACTTTTTTACATTATCTTCCAGAGGAAAATTTTCAGCATTTGCTTCCTTTAAAGCAAGCATGATGGACCACATGGTGTCAAAGGCAGTTGCAAACTCGATCTTCTTAGGTTCTGTCTTGTTTTCGAAGCCTTTCATCATGAACGCTTGGCGTAATGACTAGAAGACAAAAATAAATTATTGCGTAGACTTTTAGTTGTTGTGTGGTCGTCGTAACATTAAAATGCTCTGTCATCTCCTGTTTTTAGGGATTTGCAAAAATGGACCCTGATTTTTAACAAGGAGTATTTTTGGGAGGCCTGCAGAACAAACTACCCTACGATGTCCACTCCTTCTCAATATGGCTTTCTGCAATTGATTCTTGAGCGTCGAAAGATCCTTTTATTAAGTATATGGAATGGTCTGTTTGATATAATCACAACCTGTTTTTGTTGGCGACGGAAATAAATTTCCGAAGGTCGTGTATCAATGGAATGACGGTGAATCAAGAGCGACTAAGAAACTGGCAAAATTTAAACATCAAACTGGGAATCATCAAGCCTATTATGGTCCTTTCAGCTTCTCCCATCTCTGTCTGAAGTACCAGTCATATTTGCATTAAGCTTTCCGCGCCCTCTTGATGTCTTCATTGCTTACACTAAAAAAGGTGTACAAAGCTGCACAAAGGTGTACAAAGATGCCCTATCCCCTCTTGGTTATGAAGAAGTAAACGTTTATGAATCTCAAACAACTTAGGACCCCAGCACTATACAGAACATCGTCATCCTTTTTTCTTACCAGACTAGATGCAGTAATGGTATCACCATCCGTCCGATATAAAATTTTTTTGTCTAGGATAATAGTTCTGTCTGCTACTTCTTCATACTCTTCTGTTGTACAAGTCCCAGTTTTGTTCTTGGACCTCTCGACATTGGCATACTCACTCCAGTCTTTGACGGTCTCCGCGTCAGGGTGCAGGATCCACACAAACTCTGGTCCATACATGCCCATTTTGTACAACTACAAAGAAGATTTAAAGCTGAAATTCCCTGCGTGTATATGTGTTCTTTTGAAATCTTCGATTTCGCATTAAGTTATATTTAAATAATGAGAGATCTGGTTTTAAAAACGTTCTGGTGAACGGGGTACGATATACAATTAAATATATATATATTTATCATCTAAAATTCGGTGTTATACAAGGATTTCTAGCCCTGAGGAAAGCCGTAACAACATACGTGAAAAAATACGATATTTTTCTATGTGTTTGATATCGCCAATAAGCTGCTGAACGTCACTCCCCTTTCGCGCTACTTCGTTGGTTGATGAATGAACGGCAAAGCCGTTTGTTTCCTTACTCGGAACTGGTTAGATCAAATGACCACCACAAACCGTCTAATATTAAGCCAAGCTTTAATAATTATTCGATCTAAAAGAAATACATTTATAATTCGCAATTAGAACAAACGCAAATCAAGTCTTCATCTTGTAACTAAATTAAAAAACTTCAATATAAACTTACTTCTGTGGCGGATCGTTACAACAGTCTCACAGTTTACGGGTTACCAGATTCTCCAGGTAAGCGGATTTATAGACAGAAAAACGATAACAAAATAACTTCTTTCTCACTTCGATTCTGCTGAAAAACTGACTTAAAACATAATAATCTAACGCTTTCAAATCAATCTATTGAATTAATGTCAATCACGATTCTTGTCATCGAATAGATCTGTCAACAAGAGGCAACGCCTATTTATTAAACGAAACACCGTCACCATTCTCAATCCAAGGTCGTTTGGCGGAATTTTTTCGGGCTATGGCTGCTAAACACTAAAAAATCAGTATCGCTAATAGACAGTGACGTTCAAACTTTCCTAGAAGGGGAAGAAAACCAAAATACGAAAAGAAAACCCGAAAGCTACGTACTCAGTGGCTTTAGTAATGGCGTTTCTCGCTGCTGAAAACGAAAATTAACACGGCTATATCAACACAGGTGAAAAAATACGATATTTATTCACGTGTGTTGTTACGGCTTTTCTCAGGGCCGGAAATCCCTTATAACACCGCAGTTTATGTGATAAATAATCCTGTAAGACAAAGATAGAAACAATTTGGGTACAATTCGCGACGAAAATTTTGCAAAGGTTAAACATTATATAATAAGCTCAGTTATGCACGCATTCTGATTAGTTCTCACCTATGATCTATTGGAGGACAGACGTATAGATGAAGTCATCATTAAACTTTTTTTAATTCTTTATTATATAAAACAAATAGATTCCAAGTTGCCGTGCGTCTGTACCACTTTTTTGTTCTTACCACATTTTGACGTCATCTGTGATCTATTACTGAACAGACGCACGGCAACTTGGAATCTTTTTGTTTACTTGAAAATTTAAGTAAACTCACGTTACAAAACACCAGACTAGCTCCTCTTCCATTGAAAGCACCAAAGAATATTTTAGCATCCAAGTCCTAAATGGAGAAACAAATATCATTACCCCGTTACCATGTACTTTATATCAATACAACAGCTCAAATTCGAGTATTTTCAAGCCTTGCGTCCCTGCAATGGATGACTTCCTTTAAGAATTGATTCAAGTTAGGAGACAATTTTGTCGTTATAACAGAAGAGGAGAGAAAATTTTTTCGACGGTAAGCTGTTTGTAAACATTTCTTTTTGAGCGCTTTAGAGAGTATTCGAAGGGTAAAATCACCCTCGCATCCATTGTGCTTACCAATTATGCCCTCTAATATGCCGTTCGACATTGGCCGTTTCTCATGAAGCTCACCATTTTCTTCCAGCTTCGCATTCGAGAAACTGTTTCCTTCTTTGATCAAATAATTTCCGCGTTTGGATATCTGCACATATTTCCACGCCAAACGAATGCTAATATTTGTGTATTTTCACACCAAATTGAGAGATGATAGTGCGAGCACCTAAGAAGGGATTGGTTTTAGTGTTTCCTTGAATTGGCGGCTGGTGTCAGTTTTTAGGCCAATCATAGAACGAAGAAAAGTAATGGCTCAAAGGCACATGAAACATGAGTGATAAACACTAACACAGACGTATTGTGCTGTAAGTATAAGCGAGTTTAAGTAACATCTACCTTTAGTTTTTTCAGTTTAACTTGGATATCTATGTTGACGTCCAGTTCAGGGCTGATTTCACCAGTATTTATTGCTTCAAATCCAATAATTTTAAAGTCTGCTTTCTCTATTAGGTTGCTCACAACCTGCAATTTTATGTAAGGAAAAGTTTGAAATTCACAATGACCTCAGTTCTCTTCTCGCATGCATGAAAAAAAAGTTACTCAGAGTTCTGGAGATTTATTGCTAATAAGATGATGATTTGCTGAGTAGCTCATTAACTGATCAAAAATGGACCAAAATAAAAGAAATAACTTGTTTCTTTGATAGAATATAATAACACACGAGAAGATTATTCAACGTGGAGGAAACGCGTAGTCGTATGGCTAAGTTGCAGGTTTTTGCTTAAAATTAAAAGATAAAAAAAAGACAACACTGAGCTCTAATAAAAATAAAAACCACAAGTACTCTCCACCCCCCCCCCTCCCCCAGAAATATGTAATGGTCTGGCACTCAAATTATCAAGTTAGAGTTTTAATGAAGATATCAAAAACTTGAAAGTAGCAGAAGACTTCTTACCTTGACATAAAGACCCGCTGTATCTAGAAAGTCGTACACCACGGCGACTCTTTTCCATTTAAAGAATTTTATTATGCTTTTGACAGCTTTATTGAAGGTAAAAGCTGATGGTGCAAACGTAAACCCGTAAGGATTTAATAACTCTTCATAGCTGGGCGTTGTGGTTAGGTACGTTACCTGTTAAATTCAAAGAGAAGTGATAGAGCGTTCTGATGGGAAAGTGCCAACCAGAGTTTGTCTAACGCCAGCGAGGCATTGGGTCATTTCATAGCACGATCTGGGTGAAAAGGTATACCCATTCCATTCCCTCAGCGGAAAGCTAGCAGACACGGTGGAAATTGTAGTTCACCAGTTGACCATTTCATTTCAGGCCAAGGGAACGTTGCCTTAAATTACTGAAACGATCTGCATTCCTCTGTCTGAAAAATCACGAACCACATCGTGAAACCGTGACCCTTTAGAACCTAAATCTTGTTTACGAAATCTCGAGCCTTGTATTTCGGGTCTCGAAAGGATCTACGGCGTTATATGCAATAATTTAGATGGAATTGCAAACGGAAACCAACTAAGTTACGAAATTTCCAAACAAGGTTAATCACATGGTCTATAAACGGTTGATTGCATAGTATTCTTGAGTCGAGTTGCAGATATATACCTTCAGTATAATTATAAAAGTAAAAAGAATCAAAAAGGTCGACACTGGCTAAAAAATATATTGTTCTGGACGTTTTGGCTACTACTGTTGCCTTCTCTAGCAAAAGTAAAAATGCAAATGTCTGACGGCGTCCTGCTTGGTTTATGTCCACGATGTGTGATAAAACTAAACCTGGAAGGAATTTTTTAAGTGCAACAATAATCTCTAGAGTATTTTTAATGGCTCTAAAAATTCTTAATGTTATTGTATATGTTTGGTAGCGTTATGTGTTCGTTAAAAACGTTTCTATCTCGCATGGAATGCCAGGCTTCAAGAATTAGTCTTCGTCGCCACGCCAATGACCTGTCAACCATTTCAACACTCTCCGAGTCTATTTGGTGATTGTGAAGCATATGGTGTTTGGCCAACGACACATTTTTATGCAATGTTTCTATGGCCTTTGTGAGTTCTTTCACGCGTGTTTTTAGTGCGCGCGATGTCTGACCAACGTAAACACAATCACAATCTTTAAATTTAATCTTGTATACGATTCCTCTAGAAGCCTCTTTCTCGATCTTGTCTTTTGGCTTTTTAAGTATGCTCGAGATGAAGCAGATAGGCTTATGGGCGACCTTGATGTTGGAACCTCGAAGACCTTTTGTGACTCTCTCGGAAAATCCTTTGGCATAAGCAGGATAACCAAGCCACGCTGATTGGTGTCATTCATTTCTTATTGTCTATTAGGTTGGCGGCCATTGTGAATGAAATTAGCAGGGTAGTTATAAGCGGCGAGGGCTTTCGTTACTCGCTTAGTTTTCAATGATACTTCCTCCTTGGTGGAAGGACTGTTCTTTGCGCTAACTATGAGAGTGCGCACGACCGAGCATTTCCCTCAAGGATCGCGCTACACCGAATATTGTTAATATCATTAATTTGCATGTAACTATGAATTAAACACATCCTACGAGTACATCGAACTTGTAATCGAGCGGAAAAGCAAACAAGAAATCATTCTAAGCAACCTACCGACCCAAAAATCTATCTGAATAGCTAAAAATTCACTAAAACACCTAGAAGTTTACTACACAAAAACAAAAACATTGGTCCTCTCTCCGTCCGTCTGTCACTCGGTTTAGTTCGCCGTACATCTATTAATAATCAAATAATCATTATACCAGTCAACCATCCCCCACAATCCAACAAGAGGAAGCTTCTTAGCCAACCCAAAACCTGCTAAGCCAATAAAGGTATTAATCGGTAGCAAAATGTCTGTTGTTTCTCACCATAGGCTTTCTGTAGAATCGTGCAACTTTCAATACCGAGGAAGCTTCGGGAGGAGTTTGAGGACCAAGTAGAATCAAGGCATATCCATCCTCCCGTGAGGGGTATCTCAGTGCATCTACAGCGCTAACTATGGCATTTGCTTCATTACCCTGTTGAAAATCAAGGACATTATTGTTATTTGTACTTTATTTCCGGAAGCGACAAAGAGTAGAAAAAAACTTCATGAAATAAGCTTCTGGTGAAGCACGACACCTCTGAGTAAATTTAAAGGACACCCACACAATAAGTTCTCCGGATGAAGACGTATGCTGCGAGGAAAAATAACTTTTATCTCACCATCAGACAATATAACATCAGCCAATCAGATATTAGGTTTTTAGCCATGTAGTGCAAATTGACCAATTAGGAGGTCAGATTCGCATCCAAGATGGCGACTTGGTTTGTCACACAATCTCATCATCACGCAAGAGTGACGTTGGGCCGTAACTACTTCAGACATGAAACACACATTAAGTGAAATAGTCAAATAAAGTAAAAATACACCATGCCGTCAGTGGTCGAATATTATGTACATTTGAAGACGATTTTCGAAAGTCGATCTCAAACTGCAGTCATCAGAACATTGTCGTGAATACTTTCTGATGGTAGAGATGAAGTTTGTATGATTTTTTGGAGCATTCTTTCACTTTGAGGCTGAAATTCATTCTCTTCACATTAATCATATATCAGGAGGTGGTGAAATAAAAGGATAAAACTCAGATTGTTTTCTTTAACATAACTTACATTTGTATAGTACACGTTGGTTATTATTTCATACTTGTCCAGGAAATCTTTAAATTCTGAAGAGTTCTTGGCAACTTCGATCGCCAGATGTATACCGGATTCTATGGTGCCGTCATTTCTTTTATCGATTACTGCAATGAATAGCTTCTTCTTCTCGGTGCTATTACAATATGTTGTATTATTTGTCACATTGGTGCCGTTACAGCTCTCCGTCTTATTGGCGCCGTTACACCACACTAACTCGATCACGACAATTAAGAGCAAAATGGAGATAACCGCTTTATTGTTCATCGCAGAGTTCGAAGCTTATTGACGCTGAGGTGACGTAGATGTCTTGCTCTGTTGAAAGGTACGAAGGTAAGGTCAACCCTCTAAGCTGCATAATTAGTAGCAGTAGAAGTAGTATTTACTCAACCTAGAGAATTCACGCGTGATAGCGAGGGGAAGCTCTCTCCACGCGTGTCTCCTTTCTCGTGAGCGTGTGTTTCCTAGAATATTGGCAAGTACTTTTGAGCAGGGTGATGAAACAAAGCTAAGTCTGCACTCGAGCTAAGAAGCCCATCCGGCCACAACTTATTCCGATATTTGAAGCAAGAATCGACGGAAGGGGGGGGGGGGTTTACAGGTTATCCCATCATCATTAAGTCAGGTCTCCCTGACAATTCCCAGGGGAGAGGCAATGTGAGAATAAAGTGTATGACCCAAGAACACAACAACAACACAAGAACACACGTCCAGCTATGATCCTTAAACCACTGTAAGTCTCCCGATATCCTATGCAGGTTGTTTCGCCGGAAACCAGCAGAAAGTGTGGCCTGTTACTCAAAGTTAGGAACCCCGATTTGAGAATTCAAAAAAAAATTCATGTTTCTTTGAGGATTCAAAGCACAGCCAAATAATAAGCGTTCACCAGCTCTACTAACCAACCAATGGGAAAGTGGCGAATTATATATCATGCCCGTCCTTTGATTCATCTCTCATGTTGGTGTTCACCACAAAAGTTTCATCACCGATGGTTGATGCTCCTTACGTCAATATTGTTTGTGAACGAGGAATTCCGAAGTGATCAGATAAATCAGCGATATCTTTTACTTGAAGCAAGCGGCATTTTACCCTTAAATAGTTGAACTAACAGTGTTTGCTATGCGATACGAATATTATCATTGCAAGCTGTGATAAAGCGCATCTTTCACAATTAGGTCTAAGCTGAATATTTTCTGTTAAAAAAAAGAAACAAACATTCGATTTGAGAAATAATCAGAGGAAATTAACGTAAAACTGGCTGATTTTAATCTGCAAAATTCAGTTGCTGCTGCCATGTAAATTTTATAAATCTTTGAGCACCTAATTAAACGTCTCTTATTGGAATTATGAACTGTTTTCATATGCGCGGTATTCAATTACGCTGGCTTCCGTCTTCCTCAGTGAAGTGATAAGACATCCACGTAAACATGCACACGGAACTGTTCCCTTTACCAAAACGTTCCGCAAAAGAAAAAACAAGTTCACTCTCTTCGAATTTTACCAAAATTTATAAAAAGAAATAAAAAAGCTTCAAATTTCCGACTCGATTAAATACCCTTGTAGGCTTATAGCTTTAACTCGAACATGCCGTCTGAATTCACATGAAACTTTTTTAAAATTAAAAATAAAAACTACCATCCGCTTCATGAAAAAACATTGAAAACGATGCCGATAAAAGCATTGATTCACCGACTACGAGAAGTGATGTTGACAAATTAAAAGATGGAGGTTGGAAGTACTTGATAACCTTCCGCTTAGAAAAGATGACTTATAAATTTGTTGCCAAGGAAGTACTTTTTTCTAGGAAAATATAACTTCCGTAAAAAGTTGATCGCATAAACTGGACACATCGACGAAATATTTATATTTCTGATAAAAATCTACATTTTTCTTTTCTTTAAAAAAGATGAACTGTGTTACTTTTAGAATGTGAATCACGGTCGAACGAAAGATTTGCCTCAAGAAGATTGAGCAAAGCTCGTTGATTCGGTGAAACTCGCTTTGCATTCAAGTAAGATAGAGCACTTAAAGCTATAGAACTTCCTGCAAGTTAAAGAAGAGCGCTAAAAAAGTTAACTCGAGCCCAAAAAGACAAACTACATTGAATTAGGCTCAGAATTCTAGTTCATTTTCAGTTCATTTCGAACTAAAATCATTTAAACCCTCATCAGCTTCAAAAAATGGACAAACGCCACAGCTTCGATAAAAATTTTGTTCACATCCTACCTTTGGGCTTTTAGCTCTCGCAATTTGAGAATGTGATGTACAATTTGAAAGTAAAATATGGTAGCATTAGGTTCAGTTTTTTTTCCTTGATAAGCCAAACTGTGTAATGATTGTTGTTTACGAGAGAAAATCGTGGGAGGAGCGCCACTTGGTTTTCAAAAGATGACGAATTAATTATTGTTCTTAATTGATATCACGAAAAGTAATATTTCCTACTCCCTGCGGACTTTTGAAGGTCAAATATATCTTCTTTTCAACGAAAGCTCGTCTCACCGTGGGTGATTCTCCAGTCATGATTTATTACTTCTTCCTTAGACAGTTCGCACGAAGCCACTGGCAAGTTTTGCCATGGAGACATTAAATATACCCCAAAGGAAATGTGCGCCCACCAGCCACTGAACATGCTGAGCTCAAAAGCACAATTTTGAAATTAATTTAAACTGACAGCAGGCTATAGTGGACAGTTACTGATTATTATCGATAAGTAGGCGGATTAAAGATAGAACCCCACCTGACAAGACCTCCAGGCACAACTACACCTGTCTGTATCACTGATGTCGTCTATTGATTCGAATCTAGTGAATACGGAATATTCTCTCTTAGATGCATGTAAGATTAATGGCGCTTTCGCCTCACTAATGGTCATTTTGGCTGTCCCATTGCTTTAAGTTGCGTTTACTAAAAAGTAGAGGAGAGCAGCAAACCTTTCGAGCAATTTATAAGTATTAAGTTCGTCTGCGAAGACTTTTTTGTTACCATATTTTGGTCGACCATGCAGCATGAAAGGCGCTCGGTTCTGATTTGAAATGTTGGGTAGTTGGTTGGGACGCACAAACTAACCTTGCAGTGAATTAAAATCGAATCATGGCGCGATAGTTCAGATGCATACAAATATCTAAACACTCAGAAAACAGAATCAAAGGGGAAGAGGGGCGGTTAGGGGTCCAGGAGATAATTAAAAAATATATAAATCTTACCTAGATTTAGCCGGATCCAAAATCCTGACTGAAATAAATATTTACCTTCCAACTTTCCAAGAGCGGCTGTTTTTTCAAGCTTCAGAGGTTCGTCGTTCGTCTTGCTGAGCGAGTACTTCAGTTCTACACTCAAACGGATGTAGACAGTAATTAGTATTTAGCTTTAAACATTTCTCAATGTACAAGGAAACGAAAACTGTGCTATCGCCTGGCGACAACCTCACTCATAATGTTATTACCGTGATCTACTGTTAGCGGTAAACCATGGTAAAAAAATTATGTTTAATAACAAATACATAAATAGAAGTGTTGCTGTCAAAATAACCTCATATTATGAACTGATTTGGAACTCCTTAGAAAACGATTAAATCATCTCATATGTATGATTTATATTAAATGGCAATGGAGGTGAAAAAGGAATCATTGAAGATCGCATTGTTCGAATTAAAAGACACGCAAATGTCTTACCATCAGTAAAGTCACATTAAGCCAAAAACCTGCTGCTAGTTTCTTTTTCATTCAAAAAATGAACATTACACCTACATCAACACTTAAATGGACCCATTGGGAAGAAAAAACAGGAATATTTAACGAGTAAAAAATCATTGGACGCCTTGGTCTTTCAAGGGAGAATAACAAATAAGACGCGCCATGGACCAATTAGGATAGAGATTTTTCGCGGAAAGATCAAACAAATTAATCAGTAGATCACATAAATGCTCCTTAATGAACAGTAATAGACTACTGTCGGGTTTACATAAACGTTTTGTTTACGAACAGGTTTTAGGTCTTCATTACTGGGCAGTTTCAAGTCGCCTCAAGGCTTGCATTTCACGTGTAGCATATCTGTTCGGGTTAGAACTGTCGGATAATTAACTAATTAATCGGGTGATAATTGTTTGCAAACCTAAAGGTAATTTCCCCTTTTTCTTTTAGATTAAAGAGTTACAACTTGCCTTTATTAGCTCTTTTAAATCAATAGTTTTGATTGACTTTCCACATTTTTTTTCAGGCAAATGAGTGCTTATGTTAAGATGTAAAGCATATGCTTACTGGTCAAAATTAACAAGGTTGCTCCTTTCATGTTATTAGCAATATTGATTTATTTGATGAGTTGAATTGTAGTCGTACTTTGATTGGTTCTTTCATGATGTATTGCAAAACAGAAGAATAAATGACGTCACCATGAACAACTCTTTGCTTTTTTCTCACATGAAACAAACAGATGACATGTTTCCATGGGTCACAGAACCACATATTTATAACATCTATGGTTTTATTTGTTAAATTGATAGAAACAAAAATAGTTTTAGTGATAACGACAATGAAACAGTGATTATGGTAATAATAATGATAATAATTTAAATTATAATAATTGTAAACATCTTTTTTTTCACAAAAATCAAAATATTATCCAAGACGATGGTTATAACAACAATTACAAATTTATAATGAAGAAAAGTTAAAACGCTTAAGATACAACCTGAAAATCTATTGCTATTGGTGATCTCTACTCCATATTTGAACCAACCATTAATGATTTACTTTCACGACATGATGCCTATTTTTCCGTTGAAAATATGTATTGTACGTTAATGAAAAAAACAGAACGTTGGAGCGAATTATTTTTGAGGCTCTCTAAGAGCAAGGATTTGAATGTCACACGGCAGATTTGAAAGTGCCACTAAAAGAAAGAGTGCATTAATTACTTGGCAGAATGAATCTGTTTTGTCTGCCGAACTGCATGGGTTCTTAGCATCGCTTATTAAAGTTATGTGTGCTTAGTGTATGTTATGAAAAAAAGGCAAAAAAATATCGAACAAAACTTTACTAGAAGAGAGTTTATCCTTTTATAACGAGAGAAGTTCAGCTTAAGGAAACTAAAAAAATTTATTTCGTCAACAAAAAGTAAAAAATTAAAAAGTTCCGAAATGCATGAATTCTTTGTGTAAAATATCTGAAATAAATATCAAAGAAGTCCAACCTCGAGTGGGTTCCCTATCAAAGCAGATTATTTTCAATATGGTGGATAGGACTAAAAGAATCGAACGTAATCCATTGTAGTTAAAGATCATAGGAACAACATAAAACGCTTAAAAATTTTGACAAATCAAAATTGATTTTGAAATATTTCTTAGGAATACTTGGCTTCTTCATAATCTGTTCAATGAAAAATACCAGTAATGTAGCTGGTTGGAGAGAGACCACCTGGACAACACAAAATTGTGGGCCGTCAAATAAGCGTTTATAAGGAACTCTAGTTCTCCCGAAAGGAAAGAAAAATGGAAAATACGGGAACTCTTTGTCATAAAGTTAATGATGTTCTGAGTCTTACTGATTTGAACCTGCACATTTGGACTGCTCGAGCATTGAGTTTTTCTTGTATTTAAACACAATCTTTGTTATTATCTGGTTCAGTTGTCAACAAAACAGAAATTCTACAATACCTGAACGCTTTGATGCTGCGATCGTATTCACTTGTGATGAGCAAGATAGAAGGGAAACCAAATTTCCTTTAAGCCCTTATTTCGGTTTTAACAACGCCGCAGAATGTTTTCAATCGAGTTTGGAGCGACCCAAATACATTCAGTATTAGTAAATTTTTAATTATCTAACGCAGTTGTAAACTGCGTGGTTAACATTTTGTATGCTTAGCTAGGCTTCAATTAACTGTTACAATGTATTGAAAACAATACAAATAAAATAAAAAATACAGAGGGACAACGATGTACATGCTGTTAGTTCAAGAACCTAAATTCATTTTAGTCACGGATTCTTAACCGTCGCTAAAATTTTACTAGATAGGTCAGGTACCTGTTACAAACAATCACTCAGTAGAACGGAGCGCGATCAGAGGAAACGGCGGGATTATAGCGGAGGAATGAAAAAACGTGGGAGGCTTGGGTCAGGCTGCGTAATGAACGTGACCCGACCCAAATCTCGCTCGTTTTTTTTTTCTATCTCTATTAATCCATTAATAGAGATAACCTATTAACTATTAATTATTAATCTATTAATTTCGCTCCGTTTTACAAACTGAATGCCTGAAACATGCTCAAAAATTTGACTTCCAAATACAACAATTTTCCTGAGGGTAAACAGCATTTCGAAGTGTAAAATATTTACTCGGGTTTAATGACACATTACACGGGTTACGCCCCGTTCCTTACGGCAAATATCCGAAGAATAAGTTTTCTCTCTTGGCAATTGGCAATTGGCAATTGCCGAGTATGAAGTTTTTAAAATCATTGATGTTACATATCATAATGATCATCTTCTTTTTGCTCGTGATCTTAATGCGTGATTCAGGGGTGGTATTGTAAGGGGAAATTACATACTGATTACTCTTAGAGATGAGCTAAAAAGGGATTTAAGGTCTCTACAATTTTAGCCTCCCACTGCAAAATTCTGATGACGTTAAAGGGGATAAGTTTCTAAAGAAACTATAGTGCCGCGTGTAAGATAAAGTAACGCAGCTAAGGATGTTCGATTGTTAGATAGTTCACATACATGGTCTACACAGAAAAGAAAACCTCACAAAATACTTCCCAAGGAACTTATTTGTACTCATGATTTATGTAAAGTAAGCATGCTCTTTCATTCCAAAAATCCTTTTGGGAAGAGTCTTTTGTGGGATTGAGCTGCAACAGAGTTGGAATCAATTTATTTTGGCTGATGCAGTGGTGATTGTTCGACTCGAAGCAGCCGTCTTTCCCGAACATCAAATTTGCATGAAGTTAACTACATGAACTCTTTCACCAAAGGTGATTGTGGACCTCCTGAGCTGCGGATATAGGAAAAACCTTCCCACGAAGGTAGCCTTAAATTGAAACTTAATCTAAATTAAGTTAACGCTTATGTCTCTTAAGAGATGTAAACCGAATTTACATCAGCTATCACGAGTGCAAATTGAAAACGAAAGTACACCCTTTTGGTGCTACGGCTAATCATTCTTATTTTTTTGTGACTCGAGCCTACAAACGCTCTTAACAAGTTTTAAAGTTGTGAGGTAAAGTATTTCAATAAATCAATTCGGACCTGACCAGATTAAGTTCGGCTACAAACTGAGTTATTCTTCAGTGTACCGTATAATAACAACCGTATTATTGATGTTAAAAAAGACTCTTAAGTATTTGTGTTAATTGTTCTGTTAGACCACAGTTTCAAATTTCTTTTATCTTTATTTCAACTTTTCGTAAAAAAAGAAAATAAAGACGTTCTTTACTGATTCTCAACCTAAGTATGATCTGAAAATCTTGGTCAGCTTGAACGTGATAATAAAAAGGTGCTTATAAATAAAAAAAGAGAGTATAAATTTTCTAAAGTGGAATACCGCGCACAAATTTCGAGCTGACGATTACAAATACGCGCGTAGGATTTTAAGCCTTTGAAATAACTTTTTATCTCCACATAAGAGTCGCAGAGAGAAACCGATGTGGATTTTGAGTAATCATGGAAGGAATTACTTTTCTGCAAAACGTGGAAATACCTCAGCTTCGTATTTGATAAATTATGGAACAAACTGGATGTTTTGTTGAGATCTTGGCTGCAGTCAGATTTCGTGCTTACTCGAACGCAATTATTTGCAATGACGTCGTTGACTCCAGATTAATCTTAGATTCTATCTCTGACGATAATCGTTTTTTCCCCTTGTGAAATTCAGCAGCGCGAACATTATATTTTGATAAATGAAGCTATAGAACTGTTTTATTTCGAAAGATATATTCAAGTGAAAATGGCCATTTTGACCGATGACGTTAATACTTAGTTTCAATAAAAAAAATTATGCTTGCGTTTATGAAAAATCGCATTTCAATTGACAATGTAGTAAGCAGAATTTTTCGATTTGATTAAATGAAAGCCTTTCCCGCATATCACACGTGTGGAAAAAAAAACTACCTCCATTATAGGGTGAATTCTATCAGAGGTTAAATTGAATAAATGTTAAGATCTTTTTTTACTTTGTTAAATGCAGAAAATTGGATGCGCTATGATAGAATCGTATTCATGATATGGAAAGCCAATGCAGTCATTTTCGTTGCCGTTCACACCATGACATTGACTGATAGTGATAAACTGCTGCTTTTGAATATGAAATGTATGTACGGCTCGCGGGCTGTTTTATAGGATTCAGCCCCTTTCTATCAGTGGTGGAACACGAATGGTTTACTACCTCATAAACGTCTCTTAACACTGAAGTGATTTGACTTCTGGATGAGTTTAGGTCAGTTAGAAATTAAAAGGATGTGTTAAACGCTAAGTGAAATTCAGTTTTTATGAACCTTTAACTTGCATTTTGCCACAAAAGAAACAAAAGATTAATTCAGCCTTCCTCCTCTTCGTTAATAAAGTGCTCGGATGGAAACGAAATGCTCAGTGGGTAGAGACACCCACTACTTTTTAAAATTACAAATTACTTTTTCTACGTCACCCAGAACTTTAAGCAATGTTTGAACTGCACAAATTGCAGCGATTTATCGTAAAAAATACTTGTTAGAATTCTTCATCTTCGAAAGAGGAGCACTTAGTTGTGTTTTGATGCTACCGTTCTTGTTGTCGTCGTGTTCTTTCGCGCCTCTGTTTTTGTCCTGAACCCATTCGTGTTCGTTCAAAACACAACATTTGCATGCCTTGGAGAGCTTTGTAAATTGAGAGCATCGCAGATCCCTCTTGCCAAATATATTTGCAGTGTTAAAATTAGAATTAGAGCAAATTTGTCGGCGCGTTACGGTATACACAGGAGTCAACTGACAAGGCTCTAATATAGAAACAAACAATTTTCAAGGCAACCTTTTTAAGTGTCAAATTTGAGCTTTTGTGATAGAATTACGTACAAGAGGTTTAGAAGATGTACATTTGTGATATCAAACAACGCATCCTTGTAGAAAGGGGAGTCAAGCCATTGTTTGTCATTACAACGAAGGGCGGTAGAGTGAAACATATTCTTTTGTCTCATTCGTGCTTGTCAGTGGTAGTTTCAAACTAAAATTTTCGATAATAAACTAAAGGAGTTTTGTAATCTTATTCCTTAATTTAGAACTCAACTAATGCTCTGAGACAGTGAGGTTATCCCTCACATTTCAGTTTTGTTTACATGAAGCCATACATAAACTCGCTATAGTAGTATTTACCTTTGCACTTTCTGGTTTCTCGATGCCCAGTCTTATTCTGTGGTTATCAAATGTTCGATTCGCTCTCTTTCTGTCAAAGGAAAGAAAAGATATTGTCCTCAAAATGGCTTTAGGGATCCAACCTTATTTCCACTGAGCGCAAAAAGATGTTTTCTTAAGAGTGTGATACAAAATCTGTAGGCGATCGACAAAGTGCTTTTAACTGAATCACCCAGACAACCATAGGTCCCTAAAGAGAATTTTTTTCATTAGTAATTCAACGTACGTCATTCTGGTTTTTACACTAGGCCAATTTTCTTTTCATCTGTCCATCTTTACACCTCCATTAATTGGCCTTTATGCAGTCCAAGTCGTATCGCTTAAATCAAGCGGATTTAGTGCGGAAAGATTAAATTAAAAATACTGCATGGCTGCATGAGGTCCAAATCGCTCTCAATCTGGTTCATCTGTGAATGGAATAATAACTGCATTTTTAAGTTTATTTTGTGTTTTTTGGTTTTTTTTATTTGACAGAGAATTTTCGTAATGGAGTTTTATGAAACGTGTTAAGGTTTGGCAGAATTTCGAAAAAAATTATCAATCCAAAAGAAAACGATTGTTTAAGACATGCACAAGGATGGTGTATTCTAAAATTCTTATCAAACCGCGCATTTCCCAATTTCGATCGGAAATCTCCATCCAGTTAATATTTCAAATTTTATCCTTTAATTCTCCTGCCTTTAAAAGCACTTTACCAATTAAAAAGTTCGTTTAATTCATTCAAAGACATACGGTGTGCCGTGGGCAAATTGTGCAGATACATCACGCACATGCATGCAACAAAAGCTATAAAGACTTAAAACACTATACGAAAGTTTCGCCGTTGTTTGGAAAAACCTATAGCAAAAGTTTCATCGTAGTTTCGTTCTCGTAGTTAGCACTGGGAAAAAACATTAATTTACTTTAAATGATCCACCTTATGCAAGTGCCCTTTCGCAGCTCAATGCTATTGGGAACCAAATTTTAACGCAGACTGATACTGTTAGGGAGATCTGTAAGCTTATCATCTTCATATCCTGACGGCTCCAAATTAACGCCACGGGAGATATTTCTTGCGATAGCTGTGAATGTCATCGGTAAGTATTAAGCGCTCTTACTCTAAATTTATTCCTGATTAGAACGGATGAAAAATGGGAGTTAAAAACAAAACCTTTTAGAAGGTTAAAAAATCGGCAAACCCGGTTTCAGTTTATTTTTTTTACCTTATGAATTCACGTTTTGCACCTTTAGGCAAATAGAAGCTAAAAACCCTAATACTTTTGTGATCATTTTCTGCTAAAACAAACTCCTTTCTTAAGAAACTGTAACTTAACGAATGCAACGAAATTACCGAGGAAATGATCGTCAACCTAAGATGCTTTCATTGAACTTTCCTTTTCATTACAAAAGGAAATGTATGAAGGTTAGTATGGAAAATATGGTTATTGATGTTAAGTTTACCTCGTGTTTTCTCAGGCTGTTTTAATGCAACGAGTTTTTTTTTTAATCAAATGCGTACCTTATGATTTGGTCGTTAGTCTTAAACTTGTATTAATGGACAACCTCATGGAAAATGAATTCTTGCTTTGACTAAGACTTTTCCTTTAATGGCGGGAAATTTTGTGACACGCGTGGGCTGGAAACCGATGAAATGATATCATGAGAAAACATCATTAATTTGCAACAAAATCGGCAAGAGCAGATTCACCTTCGTTCGGGCAAACGATTCAGTGGTTTATTATACAAATCTGCAACCGACTGCTTCGGCCGAAAGATTTCACCGAAAAACTGCAAAGTAGAACTCGATTTATTTTCGGTCGTTTTGGCTGTTGTTAAGACAGACAAATTTGATGTCTAAAAGAGTATCCCTGAGCTGGATATTGGTAAACATCAGCGTAATCTTAGTTAAAGTTACTTGGTCGCAGTACATCGAATCAGTTTTGCTATACTCCTACACTCTTCGGGCTTCATTAGTAGCTTTTTTCAGCTGACCTACGGTTTAATTTACTTCTTTCGTGCTATTCTTACTTTCTCTATTAATTTCAAGGTCGCTTTAACTGCAAAATGTAACTTTTTTTCTTCACATCAGAACTACAGCAAAGCTGAAAACTCAGTTTGATGACTCAATCAAATGAAATTTTAGACTAATGGTTCGTTGTCATACGACCGTGGTCGGAATCTGAGCAAAATTCTTGAGCGGATATTCATTTTCAATGAGCGACCGGAATGAGTAGCATTCTTGCCTGGGAATATGCACATGTGGCACGAAAAACAGTCTACACGAAAATTTAACAGACCTAAGGCAAAACTGACTCAAAACTCGTGCGAGGTACTTTACCTTCGCTTCCGAGTGATTGGAAAAAATTTCACCTGTTTTCACACCTTCCACTTCAGTTGGCCATCAACTTATTGATACACTTGAGAAGTTTGAGGAGCACTCTAGTGGTTGCAATTGCTCTCGAATGCCCTTGAAGGAAACATTTCGCTTACTTTGTGAGTGTTATGCAAATTTCTCAGTGTGCATCAAACTCCTATAATGCACGCGAAAGCACGAATTATTGGCTAATTGAGAGCATTAATATTTCGTAGACATAATAATATTTTTTTAGGCTTTAGCCTTAGCATTTATATTTTCTATAAAGGGGTTTCTAGATAGTCAATTTACTTCCTACATAAACCACACTCAAAAGTTCCTTATATTTTTTTTCCTTCAAGATGCATTTCAGAGTAACATCCCTGCCTAGGGGATCACTTTTGAAAGACTTTCAACCGTGGCCGACAGGCATGAGAAAGCTCGCTTTACCACAATAACGAATATTTGCATGAAATCCAAACACTGGCCTTCGAAATTTTCGACCTTAACTTAAACAGGTTTGCAAGATGCTTCAAGTTACATTTATAACCGGAAAATAACTTTAAATTTGGAACAATTCGTACATTTATTCTCAGATGCAGTTAAACTAGCGCACAATGTTTTGGTAGTGTTTAAGAAATCTAACCCAAAGATTTATGTATAAAGAGATATAAGGTTTCAAATTATCATTATTTCTTACCTTATAGGTAGAGGATGGCTGAGTTTAAATGTATAAACAATTAGATGTCTTCTTCAAGATTACTACTTTGATAGTGTGAAATATTCTGAAACAGACCCAAAAAGTAATAGAGTGTAAAACTGAGTGTGGATGTTACGTTACAGCGACACCTGAAAGCTTTCTTAATGTTAAGAATTTACTTTATCCTATTAATCAAAAGGGTCGACACGAAATGGCATAAATTATTCAAAGTGTAGGGAGTAATCGATGTCGATCTTCTGTGTATTTAATAAGCGTTGTTTCCATGTTTCGTGATCATGGTTTAAAGTCATTTGTGGATGACACCAACAACCCCACCTCCGAGTCGATGTTATGATCTCAGGTTAGAACAAAAGTTTTATACAAGGGTGTAGTTTATTGTTTTATGTTAAAGTTTTATTCGACTCTAATGGGCGGCCAAATTGTTGGCTCACCATTGAAGAAACGATAACCCTCAGGGACTTTTTTCAGCTAATTCAAATGTTTATTCAGTCTTATGCATATTTTAATCACTCAGGTATTATCTAGCTGTCGTTCGATAAGACTGTTAAAAGATTGACTCATTTTCTTAGTAAAAAAAAGCTTCATGTTGGGAAAGTTTTTCTTTTCCTTGAATCTGACTTCAAAAATTTAGACCCAAAATTTTAAAATTGCACTTACTGTGCACTAGACCTGTGTGTCAAAGAGTAAATTACAAAATATTATATCTAACGCTATTATGCTGCAGAAAAAAAATCGCAAGCTCAGTGTTTATCATCAGAAAGAAACATTATGTAATCTCTGTCGATAAGTGGGAAAAAGAGATATTTTTCATACAATTAAAGTGGCGTTTGTTATGTCTTCTGGCAAAGTTGTCGAAAAATTAACGAGGACAAGAACAAGATGTGACAGATTAGCAGATGGGTGCATTTCCTACTTGCCATGATAGTTTAGTAGGATTAACGAAGATAATTGCAAAATATGACGGTATATTATAAAAGAGTAGCAAATGAGAGGAGAAAAAGGAAAATTGCATTTTCAATTTGTCATGTTAGTTCAGCAGAATTATGGAGGGTGATTACAAAATATGACAGTATTTTCGAAAGATGTTAGACACGAGATAAAAAACATAGCATTTTGAATTTGTAATGTTGGTGGAAAAGAATATGCTAAATGAAAAGGCTTAGCCCCGAAATTCTGTTGGTTCTCAGCCTGAAAGATGGGAATTGCTCACAATATATTTCTTTGCCGATCCTTTTACTTCTTCTGTGAACTCATCTCGTTGTCAGACTTCACTCCGCTTAATGGATGTTGAGGAAATACCGCTCACAGACGAACGACGAGTGACGTAAGTTGCTAGGAAAGAGGCCTGAACAATTCAGGCTTTAATCAATAGAGGTCAAACCCGTGCCTCTCAAAAATTCGTTGGGTGGAACTGCTAAACTGGGCAAATTTGATCTCAGTTGGAAGAAAGAAATCATGTTTTGACATATGAATAAAAACTGAATTTGAAACTGAACCTCGCTGATGAACTTGAAGATAGCCCTTCTCACCTAAACATCAATATTCGTAGTCTCCGTACTGTTCTCCATACACTGCCTCAGTTGCTGAAGGAAGAATTTGTTTTACAATCGAGAGCTTCTTTCCTTTATTCTCAGGGCTTTGTTGTGTTATTCACGAGTTATATGGTATGGAGAAATTACGTGTAAGTCACTCTTAGGAATCAAAGTTTTAAAGAAATTGGACAAAAAGATTCTCGCAGAGGCAGGCCATTAGTTATGAGTTGGGTAAGTCATAAGCTTTAAACATGACCGCGTCGTTCAAAAAAAAAACCTCTTTAAAAAGCAATTTTCAAAAGAGTGCAATTTCTAGCCTGAGAATCAGACAGAAAATGATATGGACACGGAAGGACCTGGGTACAACTTGTAAATGAACGATGGGTATCATGACGTTTATGATTGCTAGTTGCTGTACTCTAGAGAGGAAGCTTTCGAGTGATTATCTTTAGATGAATGTTTTAACAGATGAAGCTGAAATTTCTGAGACAACCAGAGATTGCTATTTCGCGAACGAACGCTATTCTTTCACGGGCACATTTTATTTTCAATGTTTATCAAAAATTAAAGCTTTACTTCACGAATGTTTTAAAAATCCTTTTAATCTAACAACGAATCTTTCTTCATATTCTCCATGAATTTCTTCCTTAATTAAGTGATCAGATTTTAAGCGCCTCATCAATAGTGCACGTATAATTTAAGGTGAAATGGCACCACCATCACCTGATTTCTTGTGCAAAGTGTGCTATTTTGTCTCACTTTGACAGACAGAAGAAACTTTGTCGGATCTTAGCGTCTAAGTAGGAAATCAGAAAGTAAACAAAAGAACTCAGACATGGTCTTTCGGAAGTCGTTCGCATCAATATCCGGGTAGGTTGTCAAGGAACTAGCTTTTGGAATAACTCTCCTCATCTGGTGAAATTTGGGAGTTTCACAGTTCCATAGTGACACTCAAATACCCCTTTCACACCAGAAAAACATGTAGTTAAACCTTGTTTAACTGAATGAAAATTATAAACAGAGAACTGAAAAACTGAATATCCATAGTGTTAAAGTAGACACTGACTTGTATTTTAGCGTTTTAAATTAAAGGTCACAAACGTTGGTTTAAAGCAGCTTTGATGAAGAAAACATTTCCACCCGTGTTTAACAAAACAAGTCTAACACATGTCGATGCTTTGATGTGAATGGGGTATTAAAACAATTTATATAGCTAAGCAATATATAGGGTTAATTTTGGGAAAGAGAAAGAAAATACAGGAGAAAGACGTATGAGAGAGATCTTTTTTTGTTGCTTGCACACAAAATAATTGAAAATGTAAATTAGAATTTCAGCTTTGCAAGCCGTCTGCTGAATTCGCCAATGAAGAAATCGCGAAAGAGCTTGCGCTCAGAATTCGAAGATGTATAGAATTCTATAAGCTCAGCTACCCGGTACCAGAGACTCTTGGAAACGTTAACAAACACAGGAACATGTTCCTACTCGAAGAAATACCGTCTTGATTCTCAAACTCAAGTTTCTTCCAGTTATGCCGAACAACTGTTAAATTCATGCTAAACCAGTAAATCCACGGGGATCATGCCAAGATATTAAAAAAGGAATGTTATTACCTTTTTTTATCACTTGGTAGCCAGAAGTTTGAGCTTTCGATCGAACTAGAGATGTACTTGCCGATGAACTTATACTTGTATTCGCATCTAAATTAATGAAATGCATTATATACAGTAGCTGAGGTGTTTGAATAGATAGAAGTTAATTGTACTTTGTAAGCAGCTAAATAAAATCACCCCGAGGCTATAACAACTACAAGATTATGTTTGTATACAGTTTTGAAAAAGGCCAAAACTTCACAGGTTAGCGCAGAAAAGGTGCGACAAAAACATAAGACCTGATTCTGAGACGAAAACGAAGGATAGTTCTCTCTGGTTGTTCGTAGACTGCAGTTTCACGGGAAAATTATGAAGAGCGCGATCGTTCCAAGCTATTCTGAACCTACACGAGCCAGTAAAAAGTTGATTTTAAATCGCGCACACATAGGTAGTGTTAACGCAAATGTGTGCTTCTTAAGTAATTACTCAACTAACTAATAGGCGCCAAATGTTTCGTGTTATGTCACCGGAACTACTATGGTGGCAGGTGAATCCGCTTAATTAAGTGCCTATTCATGAAGATAAGATTGAGATGCTAAAAATAAAAAGAGAGGAAACGGCAGAAGAGTCGGTGGTTCGATGAAATAGCAATATATTGTGGCGACTTATACTGAACAAAAAATCTTCTGGCGATCGACTTCAGTTTCAAAGCGAGTCGGATGAGGAACAGAGGACAAAGTCCAGTTTCGTGAACGTCGCCGAAGAAAGAAATTGTTTTTCTCGTTGACGGGTTCCTTGAGCTTGCGTGGGCAGCTACACGTGACAATATGGGGATAAAAAACTGCTCGTGTAGGTCGGACATGATGAGCATCAGGATTTAAAAAAAATAATAAAAAAAATAAGAGCGGGTGGTTTGCCTTGCGGTTTTAGCTGCTTTCAGTTCCTTTCATCGCCTCAAGAAAACCAAGTCTAATATATCCGCCTCTTGGTGTAATTACTTTATTATGTGAAAATTGTTTCTACGTGCGATACTCCTAAGCAGACTTTGCGACGTCGAGTAAAGTAGTTAGGCTCTAAATATGATTCCCGTTGTGGGAGTTGTCTAGAAAGGAGTAGTTGAGATTCACACATATCTCTCAGTCGGCGCCACAGGACTGCGGATTTCACCTACGATTTTAAATAATTTCCCAAATGCTAATTTCTCTGATTTTAAAGTTTCGTGACAAGAGATGCATGAGCATAATAGTTTATCTTAACCCGTTCTATTTTATCTAATAACGGAGAAATGTTTTTGGAACAAGTTGCGCGAATTTGTCAAAACAAATATATAGCGTTTAGCTTTCATTTTAGTTTCTTTGGACAGTTTCAAGGGGAACGTTTAAATTTCAGGTGACAGCTGTCAATTTGGAAAATATTCTAATTAAAACATTCACTTTTGTATGTTTTAAACTATTAATTTAAGTATTATGTTGAGCAGAGTGGCAACAGCTACACGAAAAAACGGAAAAATAAAGTATTAGAACTAGATTTTCTATGTGTGTTACTCAAGTTCGAAACATTTCCACACTCGCCTGTCATCTCAGTTAAAATTTTATTTATCATGTTTAATTCAGTTGCGTTTTTCTATAGCTTCAAGTGAAGAAGGAAAATAAGACACAATATCTATTTTGGCCATATTTTTGCCACAATGAAATAACTGCGTTTAGGGCACAAAATATTTAACAGTGGGAGGGTATTTTCTTGTAGCTGTAGGCCGTGACTTTAAAATACAGGCAAAAACATTCAAGGTTATTCAGTAAAATGTGTATTAAAAAAAGGAAACCGGAATATATTTGCTTTGCTTACCTGGTCTATGTGGAGGGGTATACACAGTATATTCAATTTAGCCTTCACTGTCGATTTGTTTACTCCGCCGAAGGTTAACTCTTTCTTCTTGTCTGTAGAAAGAAGCGAAAAAGGAGTAAGCACCTGTAAAACGATTTTTCGTTAAGCAGAGTAAACGCAAATAAAGTCTGATTAAAAATTCATCTCGAAAATCTTCTGACCTCCAATGAAGAACCGTTAAGTTTAGCTTGAAGCGAAAAACTAGTGGGTATTACCGAAGACATTTTAATTTTTTCGCCAGTTGGTGGCTGCAATGAAATAGCCAAGCAAATGGTCGTGTTTGATCGAAAAGCTACTTGTTTCTGATATTAATTATGGAAACGAAGACATTAAACAAACGATGACGGCAGACATCGATCATTTGACTAGCAACGGGGAAATACCAGAAAACGATAGTAAACGGGAAGAAACGAGGCAAGCACATGATGAAAAATGCAAATCGTGCATAAATAACGTGGGGCGGAGCGTATCTTTTCAGTCGTATAATGCTTAGGATTAACTCTCGTAAGGGTTAATAAACTCTTATCGTTATTTTTGAAAAATTTTCCAATGCGAATATTATCGACCAGCTTTTAAGCTTATTCGCTTTAGAAGTGAGTTTACACTGAGAACACCACTCAAGACCCTCTTGTTTTGACCAAAACACTATTTTTTTTATTTTTAGGGTAGATCAGCAAAACTCCATTGAGAAATTGCCAGAGAAAATATTAGGATTACGGATAAAAGAAGCGAAGTGAAAGCCCAAAAAAAAAAGAATGATTTGTTGAATTTTGGTCGAGACAGCTCTGTTTCCTGTGACGTCATGTCAGACAGTCGACCAATCAAAAAAAAAAAAAAAACGAGGGATAAAAAATATAGATCACTTTTCAAGGTAGGCCGAAATATACTTTCATCATTTTTTTAAATGATTTCTTATTTGTAGTAATTTAGCTATACCTCCTTGCTCCTTGCCTACCATTTTAGATTTACGCAAAGATATAGAGATAGTTTTGAAACTTCTGTTTAAAAGCTACTCAACATACATGAGCAAGCTATAACTTTCCACAAATAATCACAAACAAACAGAACAAGTCAAACATAATTTGATTAAAAATTCCAACCAGCTGAGGGAAGCCACCTGAGTTTGCCATTATTAGTGGTTAGCTCTTGAGTGACCTCAACGCAATTGCGGTTGCAAGACTTGAAATCTTAGCAGTGTTCTGTGCACTATAACAAAGACGTTTTTCGTTCTCTATCCATAGTGCCTTTCGACTGAGATTTGAAATTAAATTTATCATATCAGGCAATTACGTTTTTTATAATATATATTATAGGGGCGAGAGATTATAAACAGTATAAAGGCCAATGAAATCTCAAGGAAAACCTGACACCTAGACTAGAGCGCGAGAAAACGCGAGTGATCGAGACAAAAGCTGTTTAAGTTTTGGACTTGATTGGCTGAAGAGGTGTCACGTGTTTTCCATATTCAGAAAAACGGGGCTGATCAAGTTAGGACAATTTTTGACGCGGACAGTACCCTGAAGTTGAAACTTTTTCCCCTTAGCGCTTGCTAACATATGTTCCGTCTGACGCATTCAGTTGAAGAAGCCAAAAAAAAGGAAAGGGTTTCCATATGAGTTTGTGGATGTCAAGGCGCACCGGGGAGAGTTTCATACTCTAACCAGCCGACAAACAAACATAGCCATTGCTTAAAAACAGACAACGTTAGCTGACGTTATAATTTAAGTTCCTTGCGATTTTACTCGAGTGAACAAAAGCAATGTACAATTAACACTGTCACAAAATGTTAAAGATTTTCCCTGCGCTCTCAGCGGTTGATAGGTGTGTTTTGGACAGTAGCCCATTATTACTAATGGGCTCTTGCTTTAGATTATTTTTAGAGTATGCAGACTCGATTGTGATATTGTGAATTTGCCTTTATCTTTGAAAAATATTTCATAATAGTAAACCTTTGTTATTTTTAAAATTCGATACATATTGTTTGAAAATTCTCTTAACACCTCGACACCTCTACCGCGTAAATGAAAAATTATGATTTAGGTTTTGAATGTTGAAATTCAATTTTTTCTTTGGTTTAATTTCTATTTTTCTTAGTTTTTAAATATGGTAATGTATGATAAGTTCAGATCAATGGATAATAAAATGTGCTCCACAGATGAGATTGATCTACCAAATAAACAATTCTACTGCACTTGGAACGTTTTGTAATTTCAGTAGTAGATAGGGAAGAAAAAACGCGAGACAAACAATTGACATCTCCCCTAGATCGGGAAGAAGTCTTATTATAAATCTTCAGCAAATAAACGGAATATCGAGCCGTTTGTATTCTTTGAAACATTTATCACAACGGCCCCCTAAAGAGCATCTAATTGCTTATATCTGCTCAGATATATTCACACTTTACGCCTACACTCCCAATGAATTCAATTTTCATTAAAATTATATGAAATCGTTCCTTAAGTCATTTCTCTATTTAACATTTTTTCCCTTTTAAACATAGCAAGATTCTTCTCTCTTTATAGTTTTTTTGAAACACTCCATTATCCTATAAGAGTTTATGTTCTGAACATTTAGGCTGAATCACTATTCTTGTTTCCCACTCGAATTTAGACCAAAACAATGATGTTGACATACTCGCATTAAAACAAGCAGCTATCAGCTATGATATTGCTTAAAGTTTTTTTTAAGAATTGCCTTCATATCAATGACATATTTAACAATAGTTTTCATGATCGTGTCAGAATTCATGCGGACGAAAATGTGTTCATTAAAATTCATGTGCGATTTCATCATTTCCATGAACAAGCAAAGAAACATTTTCTTCATAAATTTAACATTCTTAGGTATCCTTTTAATTCCTTCAATATTTTGCCAATCTTAACCCAAAATCCTCCAGCAAACAACAGAGTATTTGTTGAGCAATAAAACTGGCTGTTTAAGCATCGAAAAACGCTTTATTGAGATGAAAAAACGACACCATGTATGAATATTTCAACGAATACTCGTAAATACATGCGCCTCATTGCACATCGAAAATTCTTAATTTTACAATGACTCTCTTTCAAAAAAGTTGATAGGAAGCCGAGAGAATATGAGAGCACCGAAAACAAGAATGCCGCATGTTAATTAAGTATACTGATAAAGTTTGTCATTGGATTCATGAAGGACCTTCGTATTCTGAATGCTATACAGCAAGTTAGGTAATGAACCGAAATCCAGAGACGCGACTCCGATCAGCTTAGGTTGTTTAGCTGAGAATGCCAAGATCAACACAGATTGGTCAGATTGCAAACGAGGAACTTGAAAGTTAAAGACTGGGTTTTTCCGAGAGGAACAACCATGTGAAATATTGGTTAACTGCTAATAATAGATGGAGAAAGTGAAAACATCGCTTTTGGTAGGACTGTTCACATTTTTTTTCTGGAAAATTTACCTTGTCGGTCGTTCAAAATACGTTCCAGTTTACTTTGTCAGGAATTGTCCAGCCTGTATTGTAATGATGTTCCCGGCCGCCGTATCACAATGTCACTTTCAAGTTTCAATCCTTGGAGAGAGGATACAATCATTTATATTTTTACTTTGCGGAAGTCCATTGCACGCAGTATAAACACGCCATCATTTACCAAAATGACATCTTTGTTTGAAGCATCATTATCAATCAGCTGGTTGAACAGTACGTCGCTTTCGGACAAAATTAATTGAGGCGACATTGCGAAAATATAATTACTCATTTCGTGAATGGCAATGATCGAGAAAATTTAATGTAAATGATGCACTTCCTTATTTTCCAGAAATTTCAGACCCTTTGAAGGAATTGGCTTTCAAAAAGTCGAAATACTCAAGAAATAAAACAGGAATAGATGATTGAAAAGTTTACTTTTGCTTTGTTTTTCTGATAAAAAAAACGGGGAGGCTTCTCGAAAGGATATTTGTGGTACGAAATTGCCTCGAAACAAAGACAACATTTGACATTGCGAGCTTAAAATAGCTGCAATAAACGAAAGAGGAAGAAGAAAACCGTTGGATGTCAAAATTCTTGAACCGTAGGCTCTTAAACAAGGTAATCACATCATAGAATGACGAAATAATCCTTGCAGCATGTTTCGTAACAATGCAATCGATGGTTTGGTGCGAAAAGCATTCTGAAACTTCAACCTGTGACCTCGCGGTTGCGATTGCTGTGAATTCAGAAGTGGAAACAATATGGAGGCGACAGGAAGCGGTAAAATTCGGATGGCATATGAATCGATGCTTCTTATAGATCACCATCAGCCTTCCATACGAAGTGTAATGAGCATACTTTGGTCGGGTTTGGTTTGTCATTTCAGAGGATACATTACATAATCTGCCGTTGTTTATTCAACTATTAAGCAGCTTTCTTACCGAGTAAGGATGGGCCTGAGAGAGTGACTGATGACAGTAGCAAAAAAAGATAACTATGGATTTTAAGACTAATGCGAATAATACTAGTTGATATTTTTTCAGCACTGAGACAGATAGTGCGTGCGAAGCCGCGTTATTTTGGCGAGTAAACATGGTAGCCGTCAACAATACAAGGTGGGTTTTGCGACACAGTACATTGGCAAAAAATCAAAAAAGGGCTAAATTACGTCTGAAAAGGAATAATTGTGTAAGCTTTGTATCAGCATATTGCTGAAAACTTACTTTCAATTTATTCTGATGCAAATTATTTCCCTCGATGTATACTGCTCGACATTTACTGTTTGCCAGCCTTCAGTCTCTCCTAGCTGACGTAGCTAGAACGATTTAGGTGATTGATTATGAATTGTGCAATACTCTGACTTAAAGGAAGTATTTCTGACGCGTGTGAGATTTATTGATAAGAGGGTCTCAATCGGGTGATGGCTTTTATGGCTAACGGATTAAATTTATTCCATTGCTGTCACCGGAAATTTTTTTACCGTCGACTTTCTTTACGACTGACGGTTAGAATTTGTCAACTTTTTACGCCTAACGGTTGAATTTTTTGGCTCCTATACGGCTAAAGGTTAACCCTATTGAGACTTTGCTATAACCGCAAAACGTTGTCTAAAATAGCTCTTCTTTGATCATATTATTGATACATTTGTTAAGAATATAGAGAGGTCTTTGAGATTACAGAGATTGAGATCGTAAAATGAACGCTATCACTGAGAAAATGAACAAGTGAGCATTGAGACCAAAGTATTTTTCCTATGCATAGACATCATAAGGAATGCTAATTACTTTCCTAATTAAACATAGAGCAGTCAGTTATGCAAATGCATTAAAAAAAAAGGTCAAAACCAATATACACTGCCTTGAAATCGCCTTAAAACAAAATTAGTAAATATCATAAGGAATGCTAATTACTTTCCTAATTAAACATAGAGCAGTCTACACTGCCTTGAAATCGCCTTAAAACAAAATTAGTAGAAATTTTGATTCGAAGTAAACCTTTCCAAATTTGTTACTTGATGCGTAAGGCAAATCCCATTTATGTTACGTTGTCTGACGATTTCCTTTTGCTCGTCCCCCAAAACAGGTTTCATTTTCCTGTCATTGGCTCCCGCATTCACTGAAAATCTCAAGAGCAATCCTACAACTCCAGTTTTTGAAGCGATATTTTATGCTTTCTTGCTGTCTTACTCTAAGATAAATTCCTGAACAGAGCAAACGTCGGAGGCAGCATTCCCTCAGCCACATGCTCAAAGTAATACGGTTCTGTTCATTCCTACCGACATACCGCTTGCCCAAATCTTATTCAGTGGAATTCAGTGGTTAAATCTATTGAATTGCAAAAAAATATTTCCATATTGGGTGATCCAATTGCTAACTCGGAATGGCAGATAAATTCAATGGCTCTAAACTTTAGATAATTATCACTAGGAAAGCATTAGTACGTCTCTTAGTAAAGCCATATCAATTCAGACGTGAACCGTTCAACCTAGAAAGATTCCTGTAAAAATAATTTCTAAACTGTGCTGAAAAAGATCTCCAGTACCTTAGCAGCAGAAACTGCAGATTCAAGGAACAGCGTCTTTGACTGATTTCTAGGGATGATGCCGTATCGGATTATTTCATAAATTTTTGTAACGTGTAAGGCATCTGTTCAAACAAGAACAGTTGACTTTCCTAATTAGCTATGAACACTAAAGTCGCCTTGAACCTCGGCTGACGTTTCCAACGATTCCACGAACGTTCTGCCAACATTTGGATTGACAGCAAAGAAACATATTAGACATCTTTGTCTAAAGAGTGGGAAAAAACGCAATCTAATACCCGTGGGGAATTAAAGGAACGTCAAATCTGTCATCATATTCACCACTTTTGCTCATCTATTGAGCAACAGAAGGCTTTGGTTCATAGAGCAACACGTGACCTCATACAATTGATGCGGAAATAGGAGAGGGAGGAGATTTCCAAACATAATCTTATAAAGAAGATGCTTATAGTCACGAAGGCCTTTTCTTCGTGGTTTGATAATCCATTTTCCGGAATCGGAAGCGATCTGTTATCAATTTCCATCGAGTATCGATTTCATCAAGTAGTCGGTCGGAGAAATTTCATGAGTGATCAAAGGCAACGATTACAATCAGTAACTAGGTGAAGTTAACCAATGATTGTGCAAATGAAAAGAAAAAAGGCAAGTTTTTTTTACTGCCGTCGAATATAACACGCTGTTTGACCCGTGGATTTGAAGTAACACTTTTAAAATGAAAATTAAACATTACTCTTTTTGACATGCCAATTTTTTGATTGAAAGTGACAATTCTGGAACTCCAAATAATCATAGTGTACATCGCTGCCGTAAATAGGGTAAAAATATTTATATATATATATATATATATATATATATATATATATTCTAGTTTGAAAACACACGAAGAACCACACGTGCGAACAAAATCAATTATCTGCCTTACAAAGAAAACCTGAAATTAAATCTAACTCGTTATGAATAACGCCTTCACCGTTAAAGATATTTCATTGGTAACGTTTTTACTTAATAATGTTTGAAAAATCGACTGGAATTTAACATAGAAGAGAAGCTAAACGTACTCTCTTCGAATCGAAATCAAACAGTAGGCTCCTACCAGAATGACATAAATTTTAGTGCGGTAAATCTTTATGGTCGCAAACCTCTCAGCTCTCCAGATTTAATATTACGTATACAATAATTTTGATAACTTGCTAAGACGCAAAGCCACAAACTCATAAATACCTCCGGTTTTCTCTCTACCAATGCTGCGAGGTCGGAAATTTCGTGTCTTCTGAATTACCTTGCATGAAAAAAAAACATTGGAATTCTTCCAGTTCCTTCAAGGCACGATATTAATTAAAAAAGCTGCCAACTGTTAACTATTTGCATACTTGGGCGGCGAAACTTTCTCCTGAGCTGCCGACGTGACACTGTTTATAAACACGCATCCATCTTAATCATCACAAAAAGATGATTGAAAAAACATTTCAGGGTAATAAAATTTTTGAAAAGTATTTTGCGTTTTAAAGTAATTTTTTTCTACCTTGACACAGACTGTCGCAAAAATAAAAATCCATTCAGAATCGACAAAAGCGGGGAATTATGGCAAAAAGCTCTAATCAGGGTTGTTTGACAGCTAGTCAGTGAATTTTTCTTCTTTAAACACATTGTACATCACATATTGTTTTTTCACGTTCCTTTTACATAGAAATGCGTAGATATATACGCGCAAATCTGTCTGCATAATACCACGTTTTGGCCTTTCGTGTAAAAATATCGATTGCCTCACTGGTATATAATTATGGACAATCTTTAAAAGACTGATTACAATCGCGATAACAATCGTGACATATGACTCAAATGTCGAGAAAGAAATAATAACAGCCAGTTAAGCTTCATTGAAAAACCAAAACGCAAACGAAAGTGAATCATAAATTAAAGTATCTTTATCTATCGTGAAACGTGCACACGTCATCACGAAATGAAACAACACGCGTGCTGCTCGGGCACATAATGAAATCTATACTGTACACGTTATGAAAGCAACCGAAGGTTTTTTTTTCTTTTGCTCTAGGATGCACTGAAGCGATTTTACCTTGGATAAACAAAGCGTCTATGGAAGCAATGGGCCATATTTTGAGCGTGATAAACGCTCGCGGGATGTGGGAAGGGCGTCAGAAAAAACCTGTCAATCAATAGCCGATAAATTTTAACCAACGTCGTTGATATATTTGTCATCTCTCTGATCAAAAACGCCATGCTTATGCAAATAGAAATATCACAAAAAACCAATAAGGTCTTTTAGAGAAAAGCGGCCTTGCTGAAAAACCATAAGAACATGATATGACGAACGAAGCGATAATAACGTGACTTAGTGTCCCTAAAAAAATGATGACGCTAGCGAGGAAAAAGCGTTTTATAAGAAAGGAAGTCTTAGAGATGGGCCGTTGAAAGAACTGAGAGAAATCTGTTTGGCAAGTGTTTTTTCAAATTAATGATCACCACGGTTAAAGCGAGTCAATAATTAACCATCTGACCAAGACTGCTTATAAACTGAATTCTCTTGTGCCTTTCTTTTTTCTCGATAATCCAGTGAACAGTCTTGAACAGATTTGTTCCGAAAACACCTTGATGCGAGTCTGCAGTCATGAACTCATGCGATTAATTTCTTTTCTTTTCTTCTGGTATTTTCCAGGAGCCCACCAAGTGACCTTAAAACTGATAACCTACAAGGCATAGTTCTCTTTTACGCGATACCTTCTGAGGGTGGTTTGCTACAAATATATACCAAAGAAAATTTTCCCAATATTTCCTTATAGTCCTAAACTTCTCAAATACAAGGCATGAGTGCCAAAGGCAACCTATTATTTTCGACATTGTTTTTGTTTATTAAAGTAATGCGTGCCTAATAGAGTGCGCGGTTTTGAGGATTTCTCGTCAAATTTTCAATTGGCACTCAAAAAGTCATCCGCATTGCTTTGGTTTTTCTTCACTACGTATTGTGATGATTGGTCCAGAAAAATCGCTCCTCTCTCTCAATCAATCAGGTTCAAAACCACAACCAATCGCGAGTTTTCCCGCAGCATAAGCAGTTTTTACTTTGGTCGCGGGCATTTTCCTTCACCCCCATGAACCGTTGTGATTGCTTTTATTTATTTAGCGACACTAAATCTAAAACTCTTTGCAACTGTTCCTTAAAATGCCACGCAACGCTATTGCATGACATCCCACAAAGTAGTTGCAAGTGAGAGAATTCTGCTCATTGACCATCGCATCTGGATGGTGCGGGTCACTTACGAAATCGAATCGCCTTACTTTCAAAAAGCGTCTTTTTGGAGTTGCATCACCTAGCAATTATAAGCTATACATTGTTTCGTAGCTCAGAAATAAAAATTGTAAAAAAGAAACAGTACAAAAAAGACGCAAGCAACGAAAAAGCCCATAACTTCTTAATTTTGATGAGGCGACGTCAGGTCGGTTTTCAAAACATGACTACGAAATGTTAGTTTGGTGAAATAGAAAAACAATGTTGAGGTGATGATAAACCAAGAATGAGTAAAAGAACTCACGATGGAGAAGATTCAGTCAGATTGTAAATGGCGAATCGAACTTGGAACAAACGCCAAGAAGTACTCCCCTGATGATGTTGACAGGTCAGTTAGGTACGAAACGCGAGGTCATTTTATGCGCTCGTCGCCTCAGCCCTCGATCAAAAAGGACCACAGGCTTCTATTAACATTAACTGTAATTTTTCCGCCAAACTAAACCATCAAGACAGGTTTTCATTTATAAATTAAGGCAAATGTGGTCAAATTGCTTCGTTAAACAACAAAATCTAAGCAAACTGTCTAAAACTGACAAAATTTAAGCGATCCGAAGTTACCATTTCGATTCGATTTGTCAGATGCTTCCTGTCCTTATTACTTCGAGTCACCTGTTTGAGAACGCTTAAATTTCATTTGTGAAACATAAAAGAATCATGCTAAAAAGGCTCTTCTAATCTTTCAATCGAGATAAATGGATGGATATAATAAATTTCTGTTATGCATCTGACCAGCTCATAGAATGTTTCCCTTTCGGATATACACAACTTGAGCTTAATGAAAAACGAACAAAACTATAATTTCTTTTTATGTAAATTATGCCTATTGATATATGGCTTCATCATTTAGCGACTTGGCGGTAACTTTTTTCTTCTTCGCAAAAACGCACTTTATACATCAATCCTTTTTCCTTCTATGAGAGAGCTCTAACTCGGTTATGAACTTAATTTGAACTAAGCTTTCTATAGTTATCAATCGAATTGAAATTATCCTATGTGGTTAAATAATATGTTTCGTTGTTTTAATCTCAAAATGTAAAATAAAAATCAGTGGAAAATCAACTTGCATGAATGATTTAGTAGTTTTACTCAAATTAAAACATTTGTCGTGATTTTGACCTGTTAAATTGCGTTTAATTTTGAACATAACGATAAATGTGTCTTTGGCAGGACGTATTTTTTCTACATAGATTGACACCTAAAAGATCTTGTAGATTTTCCTTATACTTATCCTTTATTTTAAGTTTACCACATGGTTTCCTACCAAAAAGCGAGAGTCTGAAAAAAAGCAAAACTAAAGGAATTCTCCATGAGTTTCTGTCAAGTCCCATTCATGGAAACCGTAGGATTTAAATCGATTTTCGAAAGAGTAACATTAGGCATTTCAAATTTTTAAAGAAATTTGCATAAAGCGCTTATATAAGTGTCTCTTTCAACTGATTGCGACACTTTAACTTTAAATCGAGAAAAAAAACTTACCTCAGTGATCCAGAAACCAGCAATAGCTATTTTGCTCTCTTCAATCTCCTTAATTTAGCCTGAAATGAAAATTGTCAAATCACTGAATGGATCTGATGGTTTATCAACTGTAAGTCAGCTCAATACGCGAACATCAAAAAAATCGATGCAAATTTACATTAATAAAACTATTGGTCAGATTTTAAGAGCTTGGTCACTCTAGCCAAACACAACACAAGAGATTGTAACACCTCATTTCGTGACAAGGATCCCTCTTACATTTTAACACAATAGTCAGTCACGCAAGGTCGGTAATGACACGTCACGTGGCTTACTGACCAGTGATATAACCAGCGATATTAAGGGAAAAACTTCCTCTTGTAAAGAAATTAAGAGATCCTCGCAGCTAAGAACACTACTAAACTAGTAGTTGAAAATAGTACCTGAAAAAAATTCAGGCCCGTACGGGATTTGAACCCGTGACCTTTGCGATACCGGTGTGATACCGGTGCAATTCAGTGGTGTTCTTAGCTGCGAGGATCTCTTAATTTCGTTTCTTCACCGCAGTACAAATATATGAATTTCATGTATCTAAAATCGTCATTCCTCTTGTAAGGTTGATAAGAAAATGTGCAATTGAGGGAAAGATCCGGTGAGTTATTTCAATTTGAAAGAATTTATTGTTGGGGTAGCTAATTTCATAATACAAAATAATTTGGTTTTATCAACTGAGATGACGTTTCGTTCTGACGAAGGGTAAACCCTCGAAACGTCAGCTTAAGAAACTCTTTACAACGGCCGCCAATTTACATTATCAACTCATTTAATAAAACCAAAGTATTTTATAATACCCCAACCGACGCAGCACCACAGTTTCTTTTGAAACTTACCCACTTTATTCATAGTACAACTTCAGTCTGTCCAATTACAATTGATATGATGTTATAACGGAACTCAATGATGCACAATATAATGAGTTATGTCACCTCTTCTGGGTCTGAATTTTTCTAACTTGTACTGTAAACTCTCTCACTGTATATATTATATACATATACATGTATACTTAGCACTGCTACCACAGCATTGAGCACTTTATGCCAAGGTAGACTCTACCCCCACATTCATTTATAAACATATATATACATGTATATATACACCCTTTAGCAGGAATTTCCTGGAAATCTGATTGGTTATCTGATCATAATTATTGTTAATTGTTTTCTGGCACAGAAGTCAGTAAGTTGTAGTTGAATATGGGTGTTCTGTTGTCATTCTTCAGACTGCTTGGCTGCCTTGCTAAGGACTCCTTATGAACGACTTCACGAAGTTTCCTGTTTTGATACAGAGTGGAACCTAAAGGCGAAATTATACGAACCAACAAACACCTATCAAAAGAGCACGTGACGAGGATCTGATCGGAAAACCTTAACTTATCTTATGTCAACTCAGGAAAATATCATTTATATTTTCCATTTTTTGCTTAAAACGATATATAGATATATATATAAACCCGTTTTCAAAAGCGTCGCAATTTTAAGACATATATGAAATATATACACCTTTTGTTTTTCCATTTAAATGGTGTTGATAGAGTAAGTTATAGGGACATTTTCTCAAAAGGAAAGTAAAATAGCCGCTAACAACAACAACGGTGTCTTTTCCTTTGCTATGAAATATACACGCATTGTGCATCATCTTTTCGATGAGAAAAGAAAAGGTATACATATATATTTATTGTATATTTCTAAATTGCAACGCTTTTTGAAGGCGGGTGTGTATATAGAGGTTTCTTAGCCCTTAAGCATTTGTTTGACAATATTTTGACACCGTCACAGTTTTCTGATTGCCTCTCTTGCCAATATCTATTAAAATAATCAAACAACTCAATCTACATTTGTCATGATTTCAACGAATAGCTTTTTATAATATCTTGAGCTCCTTACCAGAGGAAAAGCAATAAACGACTAAAATTTGGAAGATTTATGACCAAAAGACACGCATTGATTGCACGATTCCCTGTTGCTGGTGCACGTCAACTCCGGAGGAGTAATTTTCAAAAACGAATGAACAGTATTCCCTATAATTTTAGGTTTCCCTGCTATGATATACATAAACTCTTTCCTAATCCTCTCTTGTCTCCCCACTGAGCCATTCGGCCGGTGAAATACACACGGTTTTGTGCTTTTGTCACCGAACTCGCGGCGGACATAACTTATCACCAAAATTCACGTATTCGGTTAAAGAAATGTAAGTATTCCGATCCTAGATTTCATTACAAAGTCCTCGCAATTTGTCGCCTCTCGTTTCACCAAAACCTGAGTGTTAATCCCCCCTATTATTTAGACTACTTGCAACTAGTCGGAGAAACATTGTTTACTTTCCTCATTCCGTCTGTGGAAAATAGATGTTATCGGTCTGTTTGACGGTTCGCGCAAGACACTTTGGCTCTCACAACTGTGCAGAGAATAGACTGTGAAAAAGTTTAAATCCCAATATTTTGTCATCGTCTTAAAGCAGACTTCCGTTGAAGTTCTGTCATCATCCCGCCTTTCAGTATAAGACATAAATATTTCCATATTTCTTTTGTTTGTTTCTTTTGTTTATAATATCACCAGAATGCTACTGAATAAGCTTGTCAACGATTCCATCTTTCTGTTATAAATCATTAATTGTATTGCCCAGGCGGTGCAGCTAAAGGAAAGCCAAAAGCACTGTTACTGTACTTACTATGATTTGAAGTTTAGCTGGAGAGCCACGACTGTCGATTTAGTTAAAATCAGGTAACGCAATTTTTATCTTCCAACCCACAAATCGTGTTTGTCTTCCCACAAGAAATCTCTCGGCTTTCAGTAGCTAATGAAGTTGTTATGCTAATAAAGCAAAGTATAATACTATTGTCTAACCGATGCAGATCTGAAACTGTTAAATTTCTTTCACGAATTTGGAAGTTCCGTTCTTGTGACGATAAATCGTTTTGGTTGACATAAAAGGAAATACCAGACTGTCTAACTTAAACCTACGTAGAATGTCGTCAAGAGCTCTGTAGGGATATGAGTATTATATGTCAGATAGGTCAAGTTGAACTTTAAAACAAAAAAAAACCCCGCAAAACACGTACTTGAGGCCCAATGAACATTGTTAAATTAAATCGCGGATCGAGGTTCCTTCTTACCTCGTCTCATTTGTTAAATTCGCCCATCTAAAATGAAACATTTACAAGCTTGAGACAGATCTTTGAATTTAGTTTGGTGCAAGATAATTGCTAACCAGTGGGTGTTTTTATTGCGTTTTGGCATAAAGTGGTTTGTTTGCGAATAAGCCCCGGACGACGTGAATACTGTACGTCACGTTGAACAATGTCCGGAGTTTAAGTGGCTTTAGATTCCTGTCTCAGTCCGAATAGTCACCTTGACAACGGGCGATAAAACATGACTGAACTGAAAGCATCTTAATGGATGTAACAAAAGAACGCCATTATCTCGATTATTGCATCATTTGTACTGTCACTCAGGAAATATTGTTTTATTGTTGGGATATTTAAAATTCAAAACAAAGCTCTCTGCGTAAAAATCGTAATTAAATGTGACTGTTGTGTCAATTTTTTTAAATCCATGGCGCTATTCTACTGCAGAAATTCATAATTAGTACGTGAAGCAAGTTATGAGTGTCGTATCGAAAAATGCAAATTTGGTTTGAAAAAGAAGGGAATGTGAAAGAGATGTAAATATTGAGGGCTGTAGCTGCTGCAGGGAACAAACCGCAAGTTCACAAGAAATCGATACTAATTAAAACTTTCGACCTTTCTTGCAATGAGAGAGAAACTGCTATTGCAACATGGAGTAAATAGACCATGTAATGGAAACTTTAAAAAAATGGAGACGTCTATTTACCACTCATAGATAACGTCAACTTAAATCAGAAGTTGGAGAAATGACAGCCTGAAATACTTATTTGAAAACGTTTGTATGGGAAGAAAAAATGAAACTTAGTTTAAACAGACAAGTGTCTGTAAATTTCCGGAGTCAAACGAACACTTAGCTACATAAACTTTCGTAAGATGTCCTCATTAAGGGTTCTTGTGGTTTCAGTTTTTTAACTGCCAGTTTGGAGAAGAGTTTGTCAGTTGGAATACTGGTACATGGCAACTGAGGACGCTTGCTAATTCTGACGCTGAAACTTTGACGCAAAGGACCGATCAACCCGATCGTTAGTCCATTTCGAATTCCTCTGTGATGCCTTCAGGTTAAGCTTTCTTCACCACTACTTTTTCTGTGTGTTCTGGGCGACTGAAAATCATTTTTGTGAATCTTAGATTTGAAAGGAACTTGGTATATCTTGATCTGCTCCGGAAGAACTATCATCAAATGACGTCACTATCAAAATGAGAGCTATCTCAAGTCTTCCGCTGAGGGCCTGTTCGCAACGCGAGAATGTTTTGGTTATGTTCATGTTTCTTTTTTAACTTTTGTAGGGCTTAAAATCAAGCCGCGTAATTCTGACACTGACTGTCATGACCACTGAGCTGCCGAGAAAAATTCCCTTGGTCTTTTTAGTTTTTCTCTCAGATCTTTCGTGAATAAGAGGTACATTACCGTTTAACACCACAACTGTTATGAATTTCCCAACTACGATGAGTTTAGTAATCTTATTTGGTAACCTTACAGAGCTCGCAATTGATCTTTTTAATCATGCTGGCTCAGCGGCACTCTAAATCTACGGTGACATTGAACGCTTTTGATTGGAGTAGACTTGACATTGTCATAGCAACACAATTTTGACTTGGATCCCATCTACTTCTAAGATGTTCAGTTAAAACTTTGCGGCTTTACACTTAGTTTTCTTTCCAAACAACGTCGGGCTAACATTTGAATTATTTCAAAGGCTGAAAGTTCTTATGGATTAAAAAAACGTGCGCAAAAGCTGCAGCTATGTTCTCTCGTTCACGATGTCTCGTTCAATAATATTGCTCCTTTTTGCACCTCTTATCTGATGTAACAACAGCTGTTATCTATAAGGGTGATATCACTCCATAATTTCAAATTGAAATCTTCTCAACAATTTTTTACCGGTATTTAGCGTTTTGTAGGCATTTTAAAAAATATTTAGCCCACAATATTTTGCAATTGATCAGCAAAGTTGGAATACAGTTTGTCGGGATTTTCTCCTCTAAGAAATAATTAGACAGGATAGGAACATTATAGCTATTCACGCTGACGATCTGTCATTTGCTGGGTAAAAACATTTTTCAGAAATGTGATATATCATATTCCTATTTAGTTAAGCTACTGATTCAGAGTGGCTCAATTCATGAGTCAAAATTTACCATACCAGTAGATAAACTAGAACGAAATCTAACTTCTTTTGCAAAGCGGTTATTTCTATTAAACAGAAGTCGTTGCAAACTCATGAAGCTCAGTAGATTAAGACAGCTTAAGAATTGATGAAGAATTCAAACGTAGCAAAACATGTTTTGATCATTGCATCTGAAGATCTCAGTTTACATACGAAGAATATTCAACAATATGAAAGAGAAATCACAGTTGATAATCGGGCTGTTTTCAATTATACACATATGACCAGAGTCTATTCTCGAAAATGCATATTCTTACTGTGCTTCTTTGGGTAAATTGCCTGATAGACTTGTTTAATTGTTTTGAGATACATTACCAACATGGCGTCATGACCAGTGTAAGTTTACTTGTGTTGTCTTGACTATGTTGTGTTGCTAGACAAACAGTGTCTTTTCCTATCCTCACTTAATTTTCAGCGCCCTTAAATAAACTTTTTTTCTCGGGTGTTTGGTATCGCAGCCACGGATATCCCTCAAAATCTTTGAAATTGGATAAGCAGCTGAAACATTACGTATAATTCCCTCGCTTTTTGGCGGGAAATAATAAAATAAAAGCGATATTTTCGCTTCAGTCAACAACCCAGGTAAATAAATAGGTTATGTAGGTGGAAAGAGATATCGGCAGGATAACACGTATGTTATTTGATTATTTCTCTGCCATTAATGTTCTCAGATAAAAAAAAAATGTAGCGAAAAAGTTATTTCTCGAAATGTTAGCCTCAAGCCCTACAGAATTTGATGTAATTTTTTTAGGACTTTTCCCTTTCTTCAATATGTTTTGTTTAATAATACGTACACTTTTATTGAAATGATAATGAGAAATATTGGGTGAGAGACACGAAAATAAAGCGTTTGCAGTGTAATTCACGGCATGATAAAGCAATATTGTTAACAGACAGAGTCTTCTTTTCTTCGGTTACATGTAAGGCTCGAAACTAAGAACTTTCGCTAAAGGTTCACACAATTATAAAGAGATCTTATTTCGCCCACACAAGTTATAAATTGCAATTTTTCGTCAGGTTAATAGCATTTTCATCTCCAGAATGTAAAATTCTACGTGAATTTTCCTATATCATCTAAAATGATTCATATTCCTTTGGGCTACAGTACTTTAAAATTGACTTTACGCAGTGAAAGAATCGCATAGATTTTGTTGTTTAATTTCGCGAAGAGGTCTCGAATTTGCCTGTAGGTTCGTTTCCACAGTTGAAATGGACGTAGGTATTACAAGATGGTAAAATTCCAACTAGATTTTTGTTTTGTTTTTTCCTTTTTGTTTTAAGGGGATAAACGCTTAAGTTGAGAGCAGGGCGGCCCGAGAGCGTAATGAATCCTAAGTGAAAGTTGAAAATGATTGCTTTTGGTCCCCGCTGGTGTCAATTCCCGGCTTTGTTCAATAATAACAAATAAAATGTCCGACTCCAAATTTTTTGTATCTTTACTTACCAGAAAAGCTTTGGTGGTAGGGCGAAGGAAGAATTATATTAACCAACATTGGGTTAAAGAAAGGACGTTTGGAAAAGGGATTCTGCATATT